GAGATCTAATTGATTTAGTGCAGCCCGGTCTGCGTATTGCAAAGGATGTTTGGGATGTAAATGTGGAAGTATTGGGATCCCTGCACGACAATCTTTGTCAAAAACACTGCAGAACATGGATGAATTGGAATTCAAATATTGTGGAATTACTACAGAGGTCCTATGGTTATACGAGGATGTCAGCTGAGGAAGTTGAATCTTTGATCCAGCGCTGGGAAGGGTTGGTTGCTAGGGGTAAGTCAACCTGGGAGCGTATTGTAAATGCTGAAAGTCTAGAATTAACTGCTGTGGATGAACTGGAAATTTTGGAGCAGGATATTCTGAATGGGGAGGATGACGTGGAAGAGCTTCATCAGCAGGTGGATCAGCTGTACATCATGGATGAAACAACTGAGGAGGATGATGTTTGGGGTGAAAGTGGGATGGATGGTATATATGATTACTATTGGGTATTAGTGGTTTTGTTTGTGTTATTTGTTTTGATATCATCAATCTCTTGGTATTTTGTCATTAATCATGTTCTATGCCAGTGGATCTTACACTTCACATGATTTTCATCTGTATTCACCTAAATGTGTATTCACATATAGGTGATTGGCATTCACCTATAGGTGACCGGGTGATATGTAGTATGTGATGTGATTCACATATATGTGATGTGATTCACGTATAGGTGATTTTCATTCACATATAGGTGGTTTCCATTCACGTATAGGTGATTTGATTTCACATAAAGGTGATTTTCATTCACATAAAGGTGATTTTCATTTACATATATGTGATTTTCATTCACATATAGGTGATTTCATAAGTGTTGGTTGTCACATATGGGATTCACATAGGGAGGGAATGAATAGCGTGTATCTACCTATATTCACAGATGGTGTTCAGTCTTTACGGGTCAGATTCACATATGTGTGATGGGGAATCACCTCCATGTGAATGACATTGGGTGGGATTCACGTGGATGTGAATCCCAATCACACTACTGTGATTCTGTTTGGTATTCTCATCTGGCAGTTATATCTGGGATTGTGTGATTTTGAATTACCCTCCATCACATATGTGTGATGGAGATCTGTGATGTGTCTTGAGGTGTCGGAGTCAATTCACATCTATGTGAATAACATTGGATGGGATTCACATAGATGTGAATCTCAACCACACGTATGTGATTCTGTTACTAATACTGGCAAACAGGGTGTGTGAATGTTACCGTCAATCACATATGTGTGATTTGGATGTGTGACACGATCTTTGTGTCTGAATCACACTTATGTGAATGGGTTTCACACTCATGTGAATCAGATTCACGTCAGTGTGATTCTGATTTCCAGCGTCACCCACGGGTACATGTGGACCTTGACCATATGCCTGTAC